TCCCTCGCCTGCGCCGGGCCTCCTGCCCCGGCCGCGCGGGCCGCGCGATTAATATGCTAATCGCCCGCGGGTGGGAGGGGGCGGCCGTGTGAAAGTGACCCGGCGAGCGGCGGCGGCCGAGCGCCCAGGGCCCGGGAGCGCACTGGGGCTGGCGAGCGTGTGACGCAGCTCTTTAAAAAGGAGACAGAGGCAGGGACCCCGGGGAGGGCGGGCGAGGGGCGCGGCGGGAGGCGACGTCGGTCCTCCGGGTGCCGCTGGGCGGGGGGCGAGCCGAGCTGGCGCGGGAGTCGGGGCTAGGGGAGGCGGAGCCGGGGTGGGCAGCGGGGTGTAGCTCTCTTGCTCCCGCCCCACCCCGGGCCGCGCTCGGGGAGGCGGGAGAGGCTGCAGACCCCTGCCAGTGCCCTCTGCCGAGACCCCCCTCTTGCGCGCCCAGTACAAACAGTGGGCAGGAAAAGGATTCACCCCTCTCCTAATTAACCATTCTTCCTTTGCCTGCCAAACCAGTTAGGACTGGAGCTAAAAGGGTTAATTAAGTGGGGTCCCCGCTCTCTCTCGCCTGAGGGGCTGGGATCTGCGTTTTGCAATGGTGTGGGGGCTGCGGAATGACCACCAAGCTGGACTGGGGAGGGGGCTACGCAAGCCGTCCTTCCCCTTTCTGGATCTGACGTGCCGGGCCAGACCCTTCGCTCCCCGTCTCCGCCCAGCCTGCGCCGCCCCCGCCCCCTCCTCGTAGCGGCTCTTGGAGGGCTTGCGCCGAGAACAGGAAGCGAGCTGCGCCAGTGCCCCCTACCCAGAGGGGTTGGGGCCGCGGCGCGGGGGGGTCGGGATGGTGGCGTAGGAAATACTCTTCACCAGGGAGGAGCCTTCCAACCTTCAGGCGCGCCTCAAGGACTCCCCTACCCGGCCCTAGGAGGGGAGGGGCCCCCTCTCCATCCCTTCCCCAAAGCCCAGCCCTAGCTGCCTCATAAACAGGAAATACCTATTAGCAGGGAGGAGGGAGAGCCTGGGGGTCTCCTGCCGCTAGCTTAGCTTTCTTAAGCCTCAGTGGGCTCCAGGGATAGACACGGGGGACCCGGACCTCTGTCCCCTCCCTAGGGCATCTGGCCAAGGGTGAAGAGGAGGTCTTCATTTTTGTCACTTAGCCGGGAAGTCGGTGCAGAAGGCCATTTGGTTCTCTTGGCCTGGCTTGCGGTCTGCACCGCTGGCCTGGCGGGCGGGGTTGCGGGGTGGAGATGGGGTGGTGGTACAGATGGGGGAGCTGAAGTATTTATGAGACCTCTTCACCTCAGATCTTTCATGAGAGCACCAAATGATAGACGGATGGAAGTCTGGGGATTTGAAAAAGGACCTGCCTAAGAATGGGGGGTTTGTCACCCCACCTCCATTTCCCGCATCCGCACCCCTACGGAGGGCACAGGGGAAGATGACTGAAGCTGTCCGCACGCACACAAGTATTTCCTTGGCGGCACCCCCTGCCTGAGTCCACCTCCTCCCCACATTCTCGGATCAGCACTAGAGGGAGTATCTGGAACCTGAAGCAACAGAACACAGGCCTGGAGCCCCGACACTAGGTTTGCATCCTTCTTGCCCTTCACAAGCAGACGATCTGGAGCAACCAGCTGCCCCGCTCTGAGCTTAAGGGGCCGGGAACCAGAGAGTGTATAACAGGCACCTAGTCACACACTCCCCATGTAATCACTACTGTGAGGGTTAGCACTTTCCTGCTCTTTTTGAGGTGAGACATGATTCCAAGCGTATCAGGTGGGGCTGAACTGGGTGCTACAGTCCCTAAGTTTGCCTTCTTCCGATCGTGTGATCACTTACCCCTAAGGCCACTCATACCAAACTACTGGCTTGGCCGGATTCCACAGTGGTCTCAGTTACTTGGGTGGACAGTGAGGATGGCAGTCTCCCCTATAGAAGTCTTTGCATCCCCTGCACCTGAGACTTCCTTCAGATTTCATACGTGGAGGTGGAAGACAAGAGGAGAAGAAACCCCTCTTGGTCATGGAGTGTGTGCTAGGTAGCAGTAAGGCATTTCACACCTGTGGACTCATTCGTGAGGACCCGTGGAGGAAGGTGCTATTTACTTCCATTGAAAAAGCAGGAAAACTGAGGTTCAGGGCTGTGCTACGTGCCTGAGGCCCTGGGCTCAATCCCCAGCACCGCAAAACCAAACCAAACACAGGTTCAAGCTGGGTGTGGTGACACATGCCTGTAATCCCAGCACTGGGGAGGCTGAGGCAGGAGGATTGTGAGTTTGAGGCCAAGGTAGTCTACATAACAAATTCAGGACCAACATGGACTACCTAGAGAACCTGTCTCAAGAAACCAAACCAGGGGCTGGGGATATAGCTAAGCAGCACAGTGGCAAGTGCAGGGCCAACTCCCAGTACAAAAAAAAAAAAAAAACACGCCAAAAAAACACAAAAAAACAGACTCCACTGAGTTTCAGAGAAGTTCATCAGTTGCAGGGGGCGGGCGGCTATACTGATGGGGTGGGACCCGGGGCTTTGCCCATTCTGGGCAACTAACTGCTCTACCACTGAGCCACGCCTCCTAGTCCAAGAGGTTAATACATTTGAACTTTGCTATAAAACACTTCCTCCTTCTTCATCACCTAACTAGTTAGGGTCTTTTTCTTTTTTTTTTTTTTTT